AAGTGACAAAAACACAAAAACGAGTCAAAAAAGAGAAAGCTAAAAGTAAGAACTGAGGTGGATACATTCTGCATGCTAGCTTTTAAAATTAAGAAAAAACCTGGATTCCTTCATGTTTGTGCTCATGATGCTGAGTTTCACTCTACAGTCAAAGCAAGAAATCAAGATATGGGGTCCTTCAAAATGCATATTTTCAGAAAAATAGTATGTTTGAAAGTCTATATGATTCGAAACCGGTTTTGGAATGGCTCTGAAAGGTCTTTCAGGTTTTTTATGTACCTTGTATGGTGTAGAATAGTCATTAGAGACAGTTGAATTGAAATTATGCTAATTTGATTTGGTGAAGCATTTTCAGTTAGTTATTCCATCCTGAAAGACTTTTACCAGAGGGTGGAAGTGGAACCTTAGGAATATTTGAAAATCTGAAAACTCTACTGATAATTTACAGCTTGTGACAAACAAAACCTAAGGAAGTACTGTTGATGAGGTGTTGCAGAAAACCTAAATTTCTCAGTCTCTCTGCCTTGCTGCTGGAACATGAAAATTAAAGGTTCAGCTTCAGGATGGAGTCCGTTGGCCTTGAGTTTGTTGAAGGAGCTGTTGTTAAACGTGCGTGTGTGTTAAATGCATTCACAGGACGTGTGAGATCCTGCAGGCTGTGAGTGAAGAGGAGAAAATCTACCACGTCACATCTGCCCCCATGACAGGCCACCAGCCCAGAGACTTCGTCATCCTGGTGTCCCTAAGGCAGCCCTGCAGGCCACAGTGAGTATGGCTCTGATTTTAACTCTGGATTTTTACTCCAGACTTGAGGGCCACAGTCTGGAGTCCTGTGACCTTGATCTGTCACAGGGTGACAAAGATAGCATTTTACATTCTTAGGAGTGAAATTCCTTTGTTGATGGCTAATTTGCATTACAATGTGAAGGTGCAATAAAGTAAATCCAGATCATCACAAATTTTTAGCATAGTCTAGTGTGGATTCTTTGATAGTGACTCTTTGGGAGTAGTCTACCAGGAGGGCAAATAGACCAGAATTTTGAATGGGCAAATAGGAAAAAAATCATGTCCCAGAGAGCCTGTCAGTGGGTTGAAGCACCTAGCTGGGAGTTTGCTTTTTGTTTGTTTGAAGTGATTTTGTACTCCCATTCTGTGTAATTACAGAGTTTTTACTTAGTCAAGGAAGTGCTGGAAACCTCACACATTTATCGTATCAGTAAATTCTGCCAAGTCACTTATCAGTTTAACATACCCTGCTTTTTAAAGTTTTACTATTTTTTGTTAGATTTCCTTTTGTTCCTACATAGTGAAGCATGGGCAAATGGAACCTTGTGGTGTATCTTACCCTTTGTTATTCTGCTTCTTTTCTAACATTCAGTAATTCTTCTAGTTAGCACTAAAAGGCAGTATTCTGTGCTGTTTTCCTGTGCTGGTTTCCCCCTCCACGAGGGGATTGAATGAGTTTGGATATTATGGCCACACTGTGAACCCTTTGGGTAAGGGCTGTTCCCTGATGCTGTAAACGTGGGCTTAGGAGAGCAGGGTGAATTAAAAAGGTGGGGAATTGTTCTCTGGCTGCCACAGAGGTCTCCTGGACTGGAGTCCGTGCTGAAGCCTCACTGAGACTCAGCAGGGCCCAGGCTTTGAGCCGGGATGAACACACGCGAGCTCCTCTGCCCTCCTGTGGAAATGACACGTTGTGGTCACTTCCCTGAGCGCTTTTAAGAAGAGGAAGGGTGTGATGCTTGTCCTTGCCCTGCAGGGAGCCCTACACGGTGGCTGTGAGGTCCGTGACCCTCGAGGCGATGCCCCCGAGCCCGGAGTTCTGCAGGAGTGAAATCCTCTGTGCTGGGTTCCAGATCTACAGCAGCAGCAGCAGCAGCTCCTGCACCGTGAGTAGCCCTGCAGGGCCCAGCTGTGCCCCCTGCCCTGTGCCCCATGCCCTGCGGCTGTCCCTTCACCCTGAGCTGACAGTCTGCAAAGTATCTCCCATTAAAAAAGGTCAGTCTGCGTGTGTGGAGTCTGTCTTGCCCAACTTTGGCCAATCTGAACTGTTAGAAAGGAGCTCTAAACCGAGCACTGGAGGCTGCCCTGCCCCTCCAGAGTCATTCACTGAGTCCTAAAACACACCTCTAAGGGATGTGCATTACACTGGTCTCTGGTGGTGTGTCTCTCTTTTCACTGACTACACAGGACAAGGAATTAGTTCAAATTAAATTCCTGACTTGAACTTTCATATGCCACGAATCACACAATCTGATTCCCGTCTCTGGACCCACGCCAAGGGAAGGCTAAAACTTCTCCATTTAAGAAAATACATTTCTGAAAACTTTCAGCAGCTCTTGGTGGCTGCAGTTCCTTCTTTCAGGCAACAGCTTTTTTCACAAAGCCCACATATTTAACATGTTATACACAGTGTTTCTTGCTGCACTGCTCTGTACATTTACCTGCAGATGCTGGAGGATCTGAGAGCAGCGAGGACACCCAGCTCACTGGAGTGCTGTAGAAAAGGCATGCTTTTTGCAAAATTATTGCCTTCAGTTTCAGAAGCACCGTGTGCTTCTATTCACATCCATAAAAACTGTGGTACTCATCCAGGCTCTGCAAAAAAATGGCTAACTTGCAATCCATAGGCTTTTTGTTTCATTTACTTTTGTTCAAACAGGTGTGTTACTTCAATCAAGTGACATCAGGAGTTATGCCTTACTTAGCTGCAAATCTTACTGGCTCATCAAAATCCATTGAAGACACTGCTCTGGAATGTATAAAGTTCTTAGAGCTGAAAGACAGCGAGTGCTGAAGTTAAAAACAGATTTCTGAAGGGACATCTGAGGATTATCAAGCAGTTCTGGCTTAAATTTCTGCAAGGATGTCGATCATTCTTCTGTAGGTTACTTGCTTCAGATCATGTAGTCAGTATTGGGCTTCAGCCTGAAAATACCTGGTACAAGCATTTTCTATCAAACCAAGCTTAGGCCTTAGGCTCTAAATTCAATCTTTAATTTAAAAAAGATTAAGGAACAGATTCTGCTTCTGATTGCATTAATGAGTTTTATATAAATGGAGGCAGAGCTTGGCTCAGTAGAGCTGTAGTTCATAAGACTATTTCAATATTTTAATGCTACATTGAACAGAATGGCATCCAGGCAGTTTCAAAATATTTGTAATCGGCAGAAACCAGTGCTACCAAGTAGCTTTGCCAGTGCTCTGACCTGGCTGTGCAGGTCCTTGCACACCCATTATTTATAAACTGATTTCAGCCCACGTCAATTAGTGTGTGCTAATGTCTGCACTTTATTATTTGTCTGTTTATCTGTGACTCCCAATAAATTATTGTTCCTGAGGTTCCAGGCTCGCCACAGATCTCATTACAGTATTTTGGGGGTGCAGAAGGCACCTGCAGTGCTGGTGGGTTCTGCAGGAGAGCTGTGAGCTCCAGCCTGTGTGCTAGCTGTGCCAGGCTGCAGCAACTCACAACTGCAACTCCTGGATGCACTCTTCACCAGCACACACATCACCCTGGAGGGGACAGCTCCAGGGGCTGTGCTGGGGTGTCTGTCATGTTTGCTGCTCCTGTTTGAGCTCAGGGAGGCCTGTTCAGAGCCATGAGCTAGCTCATCAGCATCTGGATCCTGGCGAGGACCTGGGCTGAGGGGAACAAAGCACAAGAGCTGCAGCACTGCCTCTCGATGTCACTGCAGTGTCACCACTGCCAGGTGAGCACACCTTCAGCTGGCCCTGCAGCCAGAGCAGAGCCTGCTGCAGTCATTTATTTACAGGTTGCAGAACCCACCAGCACAGTTTGCAGGTGAGAAGCGTGGCAGGGCAGGCACTGAGGGGAGCCCCGGGGGTGTCACCTCTCCAGTGTCCCCTGGCCTGAGGCTGTTTGGGCACAGCTCTGCCTGCTGAGCCACACCACCGGGCTGTGCTTCACCAGGAATGCAGGGAGAGACACAGCTCCTGGCTCAGCAGCAGGAACCACAGATCCAGCTCTGAATCTGGATCAGCATTTCCTTCACGTGGATAAATGCAGCACCTCAATCTGGCAGCACGAGCAGCCCCCTCCAGAGCTCAGAAGCCACCAAGGTCGTGCTTGCCACCTCCCAGCTCAGGAGGGTCCAGCTGTCTGCTGGCAGCAGCTGTGTCCCCGACCCTGCCCATGTGCAGGTGACGGCAGGGCTGCACAGGTAACCCGAGATCCCAGGCTGGTGAAGAGAGACCCCTAATGTTGGCTCTGCACACAGGCACCGGGGAGAGCCAGCAGCACGCACTGTACATGAACCCATTTACACCTTCTGCAGGTGCTTTCCAAACACTTCCTGCACTTCACCCTCCGGGAAATACCAGAGGTGCATCTAACGAGTTTTGTCCAGCAGTTACAGATCAGATGGCTCTGCAGGAGCTGGAGATCAGCCCCTCCTGGGGAGCTCCACAACCACAGCACACCCCACTGCCTGCACCAGCCCTCACTGGCTGCACGGGTTCCACGAGGACAGGCCAAGTCCACGGCCCCAAGGCTCCCAGAACACATTACAAAGCCAAGGAGCTGGGAAATTATCTAAAAAGATGCATTTAAAACTTTTATAGATAAGTTTTTTTCCCTTTCTATTATGTATATCCATACCTACATATATAAAACTTATATACATGTATTTAGAAGATACACTTACTATATTTTTTATATATATATATAACTAATATACTTAGTTCATAGAGTAGAAAAGGAAATGCTTCTTAAGTCTGTTGCCAAAATGTCCACATTAAACTGACAGCTTTGAGCTTTTATCCATAGTTAATTAAAACTCCTTAATTAATCCTTGGTTTTATTCATATCCACTCATCTTCCCCATTTAAAAATGTGCTCTGATTAATACAAACTGAACATACATCCCCTATCTCAGTTTCCACAGCAGCACCAACAACCCTAAAACATGACGTCTAACCACCATATTCTTTAGCAGCATTTTATTAAAAACAGTTACCTGTACAAATATAAAATTTCATTCCCCGTATTTGTTTTTTGCTGCAAGAAAAATATGTGAAGGGAGCTCAGGATGCACTCCTCCAGGAACACTGGTGGCTGCAGGAACTCTGAAGTTGGTTTCCTAATTTTTCTTTTTCATATCCACCAGGTTTTTTAAGGCTGCAGTCTCCATTTAAAAATAGTAAGTCTGCCTTAAAGCAGGCAGGTACAATACAAAGAAGAGTTTACCCCCAGCTCATCAAGGTGTGGAAACACCACAGATTTTTTGAGCATTTTCTTTGAAAAATAAGTAAATAAACTAAGAAAGCTTCTCTTGCTCTCCAATTCTTCAGGGGTGTGTTTCCCCACAGGTTTCAGAGGAAGGGTGTGATTCTGTTAGTGAACATACTCAAGTGACCCAGCGTGTGTGACCCATCAGGTTAATGGCTGAGAATAACAACCACAACCACCAGCAGCTGCAGCCCAAGCTCGGCAGCCCTCAGGGCTGATCTGTAACTTCACCACCAGGCTGCTCAAGCTGGAACATAAGGAGGAACAAGTGCATTATTCCTGAAAGAAAAATGCAAAACCAAACTGGAATCTGAGAAGATTCTTTAAAGAACACCCACAATTCCTTTAATGAAACAGCCACTTGCTGTGTTCCTGTTGTTCCCAGCCTCACAGTGAGCCAGGCAGCTTTGGGAGGCGAACTGGGAAAATGAGGGGAGACAAAAAACCAACAATTCCTCCGCAGGCTGCGTGATCTTCTGGATCCTCTCTGGAGTGCAGCAGTGCAGGAGAACTGTTTGGGAGCCAGGAGGCCTTCAGAAAGTGACAACTTTGGGTCGTTTGGGCTGAGCCCTCTGCAGCGCCGGCGCGGCCGCGACGTCCTCGTGGTCAGCGCTCAGGCCGGGGGTCCAGCGCCCGACTGTCACCTGCTCTGCAGGGACACAGAAAGGACACAGCAGTGACAGGGCCAGCTCTGCCACCTGCACGGCCCGGCATCTGTCCCAGCAGGGCAGCACAGCCAGCACTGCCCACAGGGAATGTTACCCACTGAAGCCGGCCCGCTCTGCCCGAGGCAAAAGGGCGCCGCAGTGCCTGAACTCCTTTGCCAGCTCTCACCTGTCCTCCTGCACCTGAACACACTCTGAACACACTCTGCATAATGCTCACTTGTGTGGTCTCAAAGAGTATCACAACTCTTGCCAATGGTGTCACAGTTCCAATTAACTCGGCTGTTTTTAACCACCAGCACTAGTTTTGAAAGAAGTCCCTGGGGGAAATAAGCAGCACTTACAGTCCTCATTACGGATGTTAAAGTTACCAGGAAAAGATTGAGAAAATCTAGTTACAGGCTTCTAAAACATCAGTCACCCAAGTGGGTGCAGCCTCGCTACTTGCAGATGAGTTTGGGGGAATTTCAGAGCCTTCTGGTGTCATAAACTTCTGTCATACTAATTCCAACTGAATCTGACCCATTCTAAACAGGCAAAGCAGCCCACACCTAGAATCCTACATATGATCTCAGACCTAAAAATATCATAAATATAGGATCAGATATAGAAAATGCCATATGTATTTCTTACATAAACTTCACTAAAGTGACTTATTATTAACTGGCACGATAACTAAGTGTCATAGAAACAAAGTAGAAAAATGCACAGGTGTGTCTCCACTCCAGTAACATGGTTCATTCTTCAAACCCTTGTTTGATGCTTTGCCTCCTGCAGCACAGTGGGGTTTTGGGGAATCTAATTTAATTTTTCCACCCAGATGGAAAGCTGCAGAACACATAAGAAAGCAGTTCATTAGCTGTGAATCCAGCTGGACAGGTCTCCTTAGTCCCTGTCCTGGGTGCCTGACACACCTGCCTGCACACACCACCACCCTGCACCTGGCACTGGGCTTCAGCTCCACCACTTCACACTGAAATCTGCAAAAAGCAGCGGCCAGTTCTGCTGGACAGCTGCCAAACTGTGAACAGCAACACAAATACTGGCCAAAAAAAATACAGATTATTTCATACGGCCTTCAGACACACATAAGATGAAGTGTCTTTTCAAAAAAAACCAATTATCTTAGTTTTGCATTGCAACTTACTGCCTCCTCCACACCCTCCCTGAGTGTCCCAACAAAAAGTCACCTCTGCTGCTTCCAAGTTCTCTTCCCGAAGCCTTTTCCCTGACCACAGTCATGCAGAGCAGTAGCTGGACCCACACCCACCCCACACCCCCTGCAGCTCACCTGCATTCTGCTTCTCTGGGCAGTCTTTCTTGAAGTGCTCCACAGAGCCACAAAGTTTGCAGCCCCCACCTGTTCACACAGAAATTTGTTACTCATCTCAGAGGAAAAAAAAACACCAGAAAACACCCAAAAAACGCAACACAACACCCTTCCCGTGTATGTGAGGGACAGAGCTGTTTGGGATCGCCCTGCTCTGTACAGCATCACACACCACAAATTCCAGACACTGCCTACTGGCTATTTCTGATTTGCTGCAAGCTCTCTTTCTGAGAAACAGGCCGAATTCTGCTGAAATCCATACTCAAGGGAACTTCCAAAACTGACAGGGGCTCCTGAGAGGCAGGTAATCCACCTGAGGGTACTGAGATGTGAAATTCCACACAACACAAAATTACACAACACAAACACTTGAAAGCAAGCTGATTTTTGTTCCACTTTTAACCGTGCTGCAAAATCACCTTCTGGAGCTTGCCAAGACCCCACGTTTGTTCTGGGAAACACCACGAGACAGAATGCTGGTTGTTGTAGCCAATGGAGAAGTGAAACCTTCCAAGTCAGACCCGAATTCCCATTAAAGTTACCCAGAGTAAAGATACTCTTCCTTTAGTGGGTGCCTGTTTTGCCACCTCCCAAATTATGAGAATGTCCTCACCACCTGCTGGGGTGCACATGCATGTAAATACACACTGCCTACACTCACACAGGATTTTGTTCCCTTTGCACCACACTTTGCACCTCATCCCATCATTTCATACTAAACCTACACTTTAAACAGAAATCCCCAGCTAATTATTTGACAATGAACTCCACAGAATTACTCTGCTTTTACTGAAAGATACACAGGAATTCCTTTTAGCCACATTCTCATTCACTTGCAGTGTTCTGTATCAGGTAAGAAGGACATATAAATTTGATTTTACTAAATTAGTGGATCAGTACACTCACCTCCAGCATACAACCCCTTGGGATTATCCGGACACGACCTTGACAGATGCCCCATCTCACCACAGATGAAACATTTTGCATATGGAAACGGCCCTGCAAAATCCCACAGGGTTTATGATCCACATCAAAACCTTTGTGAAGCCACAGACCCAACACAGTGCAATGACAATATTTTAATCACTTCACGCTATAAATTACTGTCAAGCTCCTCATTATCATACTGCAAAAGTTAAATTTCTAACCCACAAAGCCTCAGAGTCAGCAGTCAGATAATTTAGACCCGATCACTTCACAACACCACAAATTCCTGAGACTCACCAGCAGCCGGGTCCACCTTGGCCCTGCATTTGCTGAGGTCGTGCTCCGTGGATCCACAGCGGTAGCAGATCCCCGTCCCCATGTCTTGGCTCTCCAGCACTGCAGGACAATCTGCCACACCATGGCCAGGTTCTCTGCAGTGGAAGCACACCTGGGAAGAGGAAAATGCAGTGATTCTGTGAGTGGCACTCAAAACCTGGAAATCCCAGCCCCACAGGGCCTAAAGAGTAAACACAGTTTTGTCCCCAGGAAAAAGCAGCCAGGAAGAGACTTTGTGCTCTCTAAGATTTTGGCTCTTTGTGCCAACAAACTTTGCTCTGTGCCATCAAACCACGTTGTTATGGGCACTTTTCTCCTTTAATCAGCAACACATAGTGTGATGAATCACACATGGAAATTACCTGAGTTATTTTCACCCAAGAACCAAGAGAGGGGCTGGGGACTCCTCAAAGGGGCAGGGGGAACAGTGCTGAGCCAGGAGAGCCAGGCTAAAGGCCCCGACTGGAGCTGAGAGCCATCTTTTCTTCCACCTTTTTTTGAAACATCCTTTTGTTCCAAACTTCACGTCTTTCACACTGTGCCTGTGGCAGGGGAGGGCTGAGCTCCTGCTGAGCCCCACAGCAGCACCAGCACAGGGAGAGGCACCTGTGCCTCCCACACAGGGCTCTCTTTTCACAGTGTTGTGGGAAAGAGACTAGGATCTAAAAAGGGGAAATTGCAGGGGAAAATACAGCAGCTACTCCCTGGATGAGACCCTACACACACACACCACAATCCAGGCAGGACCAACAGGAGGATGGAGCGGGGCAGAGACCCCACAGCTCTGCCAAAATCCTCACAGAGGAAGGAACCTGGTGGTACCTCGCAGCTGATCAGCCACGGAGCAGCTGAGATGAAGGAGGATGTTCTGTTAGATCAGCAGCTGTGCTGAAATCCCTTTCTTTGGGCTGACCCCATGCTACCCCAGGGTTACCTCAGGTGCTGTCCTGAGTGACCCACTCCCAGGGTACGACCACCCCTAACTGAGATGTACGACTGAAGTCACTGAATCTCCACCTACATGTGAACAAAACAGTATAAACGTGAGTCAGGAACGGGGAGAAGTTTGGGAAGACTCCACCACAACCTGTGGGATCACCTGAACCTGTCTTTTCCGCACACAGGGCCACACTAGGGGAGCTGTGCTCTGTGTCACCTTTACTAGGAGTTAGAACTTGTCTGTGCAATGCTTTAATCAGATTGTTTTAGACACTTTTGCAGCCAGGTGCTGTCAAGAGCATCCCTCCAGCCTTAACCCATCACATTTTATTACAAACCCTGTAACTGTGTGAGACTTCCAAGGGCGCTGACACCCTCCCCACATGTGACGGCTTTGAGAAAATAGGGAGATTTTTCCCTTTTTTCCCCGTGTCTGCGGGGCAGGCCTCACCATGGCGTTCTGTGACCCAAAAAGGAGATTTTTCCCTTTTTTCCCCGTGTCTGCGGGGCAGGCCTCACCATGGCGTTCTTCTTCCTCTCCTGCCTCCTCAGCCTCCTGCTCTCCCTCCGCCTGTCCTTCCTCCGCGCCTCCTCCTCCTCCTGCTCCCGGTCCTTGTGCCGCTCTCCGAACCCGTTCACGTCCTGGTTCTCGTACTCCTTTTTCCTCCTCCTGGCCCTCCTGGCCGCCCGGGGCGGCTCCGGCTCGTTGCTCAGCTGCTCCCAGGGGGTGGCGGGCAGAGCCCGGGCCTCGGGCGGGGCGTTCCGCCGGGCCCAGCGGGTCATGGCCCGGCACCGCCTGCGGAACCGGCCCCGGTACCGACACACGGAAAGGCTCCGGGCCCGGCACTGCCGGACCGCGCGCGGTGATGACGGCAGGGAAGAGGAGGAGGAGCGGCAGGAGGAAGAGGAGGAGCGGGAGGAGGGCCCGGGGCTGTGGGAAGGACGGCGCCGGGAGCGGGGAGGAGGCGGTGTGTGAGGGGATTGAGGGGAGCCGGGCACGGCAGGGACACTTCCACTGTCCCCAGTGTCCAGCCTGGCCTTGGGCACTGCCAGGGATCCAGGGGCAGCCACAGCTGCTCTGGGCACCCTGTGCCAGCCCTGCCCACCCTGCCAGGGAACAATTCCCAATTCCCAAGATCCCATCCAGCCCTGCCCTCTGGCACTGGGAGCCATTCCCTCCAGCCCTGGGCAATTGTCTCTCTCCACGGTTCCTGCAAGGCCACCCTGAGCTCAGCCCAAAGCTTCTCCTGTGCAGGTGAACATTCCCAGCTGTGCCAGCCTTTCCTCCCAGCAGAGCTGCTCCATCCTCTGCTCATCCTGGAGCCTCCTCTGCCCTGGCTCCAGCAGCTCCAGCTCCTTCCTGCTACCAACGACCGTGTAAATATTGTAAATACTGTCTTTCACATTTATATATTAGCCTTTACAAGTCGTATTAATCATAGCTGTTACAAATGAGAGACAAAAGTCTCGATATTCAGTAAAATTTAGATTGCTTTATTTGATATAGAAAGAGCAAGCAGCGCTGGGGAACGCGAGGGGTCACCGCCCACTGCACGCTCCACCAAACCTTGGTTTGCAGCCTCTCCTTATACTGTGGTTTCTCGTTGTTCACAAATTCACAAAGCCTTTGGGTGATAATCAGTCACAGCCACCCGGTCCTTGTAGATGACCACCAGGGAAGTTCTGGGAGTCTGGTTTTTGGGATAGGCAGCATTGATCAGACAAAGGCAGGAAGGGCTTTTTGGGAAGTCCGATTTCGCAAGCTGGTAGCCGATACAACTTATTTGAAAAACATAACATAACATATTATAATGTAACATAATACAACATAATATAACATCACAAGGTGATTTTAAACAGAATTATTTAATCAAATAATTTTCTGTATCTAGTGTCCATGCTTCACTTTAGAGCTTAGTATTCTGGTTTATACAAACCCTAATGCTTTTGTGATTAACACGAATCTTTTCTCAATTGTCACATGACGATTTTGTTACGGATTTGTAATCCCTTTTAACTGCTTTTTAATATAATCTCTCAGCTTTTGTATGCACTGTATAGCTTACATAAATAGTAATGTGATAAATGCTATAGCTTTCGCATAATATTAATATAGAGGCCATAGTCTCTATTGTTAAATATTAATTAATAAATAAATGCTTGCATTTCTGTAACTAACAAACAATAATGAAATAGATAATGTTAACCAAGAGTATTCGTAAAAATAGCTGAAATATCTATAAGATAACTTCAAGAAAACCAGACACATAACACTGAAAAAGCAAAGCAGGAATCTACCACTGACCCTCAATTATCAATAACTGTCAAACCACAGAGCAAGGGGGGCCTTGTGAGGAAATAAAACACAAGACTCTCAAAATCACATCTGCATTATAGCACATACTCTAGGAAGATGAAGTCAAATAAACTAAAATAAAAAATTCCCAGAACATAAAAACTCAAAGGAATGTTTGAATATGTGTAGCACCCATTAATACGCATTTTACCAATGCAAAGAAAAAGTAATATATAAGAATAGTTATAGTTAATGGTGTGCTTTTGTTTGCCAAAGCATCCCAGTGCTGGAAACTGTCGCTTTTATCCGTTATTAAACTCTTAAAAATTCTAAACTAGGGATGACCTGAGCCAGGGTGGGTCCCCGGGGCGGCGCTCTTGGAGGAGGCCACTCAGCAGCCTAAATAAATATTTATCAGCCAAATAATGCTTTCCCCCCCTCCCCAAAGTCAGGCTGCTGCATCTTGGTTTAGGATTTCACTGATCCCCAATGACACTTCCTGGTTGATGTGGTGAAGGAATGTGCTTTATACCTACACTGTATAAAATATATACAGAATGTTACACTTTCTCTAGTAGCTGTCGCTCCCTAGCCTGCTTCTCCCTGGAGGAATTCGCGGGTTCTGCCGATTTTCCGGGGTTTTGAGCCCACTAGAGGGGAGTGTGCACAAAGCCTGCTTTAAACTGCACCGCTGCCAGGCGGGACCGGCAGCTTGTTCTAATTGTCCAAGAACAATTAGCGCTGGCTGCAGATAAAACTGACTGATGAACGAACGCCAGGAAATAAAACCAGAAGGGACCAGTATTTTAAAATTGAATTTATAAAATTAAAAGCGCCTCCTTTGCTGATGTGGTTACTTACAGCTCAACCACAGCATGAGGTCCTGGCTGCTCCTGCAGCTGGCTTTATTTTCTGCTGTGGTGAAGTCCTAAATGTGCTGTCCTATCTTTCCCAGCCTGAATTTTTATGTGTGTCTGTGTCTAGGCAGGATCAGCCCCCCTTAGGATCCAGCTTTGCAGGCAGTGGGAAAGAGTGATAACACCTTCCTGCTAAATCAGTCAGACAGCATTTACCTCAAATATCACTTGTATGGCAGAGGCCACACCTGCTTCAATTTGCCCTGGTCTGGGATTTGTTCCAGGTTGGAAGTTCCTGGGTTGGGAGCTCCCCTGTACCTGGGCACCAGGTGAGTTATGAGCAAGAGAGCAGCAGTGCAAATAATTGTAACATTTTATGTCGTTTTTTTCTAGATTTTCCGAAGAAACAGCAAATTATCTGAACACATCACCGTGTTCTTATGTTCATAATCCTCATACCCCAAAAAGGAGTTTTTATCTGCTGAAGGGGTACCAGAGGCTTTGGTTGTACACACACACAGCTGATGTTATCCTTGTTCACTCTTTTTTGCCTGTGTGGTTTGGGAAGTTAATACTACTTGGCAGAGTGTCAGGGTGACATTTTCCTGGTTGTTTTAATGTGAATATGAGCCTGGGGAGAGAAAGGAAAATTAGGCCCTGTTCCCTCTTAAATTCTGTTACATCTGCAATAATCTGAGTCTCCTGTGCAGGTGGTTCACTTTGATTTATTCTCCATAAGATCAAGAGATTGCTTGATTTACTGCTTTGCTTTCTCATCACTGTTAAATGATTACCTCTGCTATATTTGATCTTAAATATTTATGGATTTTTGACTGCTACAACCAGGGCAGCATCCCCCTCAGTGAGCCTGCTCAGCTGACCAGCTCTGGATGTCGTTTCCACCAGGCTGTGTTGCTCACAGCTGTGATTCCTTCAGGAATCTCACAAGAGCCTAAATGAGCTGCCCCACCACCTTCCGTTGCTGGATCAACTCAGATATTTATTGGTTTATATTCAGGCACATGTTTAAGTGCCTGGGTGAAGTGAAGCCTTTGAAGGTTAAGGCCACTGGTCAGTTATTTTATTTTTACTTTCTTAGTGAGTTTGGGGTTTTTTTTACACTGCAAAGCTGCTGTTTGTTATTCTTGTGTCAAAATGACAATCTGAGAAACGTGGCTCAAGTAGGAATGTTAGACATGCACTGTCAGGGTAGCACAAGAATTTCACCGGGTTTTAGTTTTGGTGGCTGCCTGCCCAACAAACTCTCCTTTCTCACAGGAGAATGTAATTTTTATTTTTTCAGAAATCCACAGTAAGTGAATGAATTTAAACTTGGTTTGCAGAGCACTTCACTTAAGCTCATGTCTTCAGATCACAGAGTTGTAATTTCTAGGGTTGAAGGCATGAAGGAACAAAGGAAGAATGAGTTACCCTCCTGTGTTTGGATACAATAGCCTTTTCTGCAGTATTGGCTGCACTTTGAGAAACTGCTGCATTTCACAGAGAAAAGGAGAAAGAACAGGCTGAAACAGCAGGCAGCAGCAGAGGTACAGATTCCTTGGGCAGAGGGATCACCAAGGGAGACTGCTCTAAGTCAGATTCTTACTTCAGATATTATAATTCCAATTCAGTCTTACTAACTTCTAATATTCCTCTCCTTCAAGAAAAGGATAAATTCCTCATTTCTATAGAAAAGGGGGGGGGGGAGGGTTTTAAAAAAAAAGTAGAGATGCCAGTAGTTCATGCAGTTATGGCCGAGTACCAGGTAGATTATCAGTAATTTCAAAGCCCAGTTGCTGGTTCAGAAAGCAGAGCAAAAAACTGGAGTCAGAGCTCAGACAGATACTTCTTAAAGGTGTAGACTAAAAACTTATAGCATTTTCAAACCAGAATAAACATGAGTTAAGAATTAACTGGCATAATTTGTTAACTTCTTTTTCCTTCATGCTGAGTCCACCTGAGTTCCCTGAGAAGTGGGTAGATTAAAAAAAACCACTTTCATTACCCATGTTTACTGATAGACTTATTACTGTAATATAACTGATACTTTCTCATTAGGAGCCCAGTATTTGTCTGTAATAATTTAGAGTGAATTAAAAATGTGCTGTCAGTCATCAGCAGTAGGCTTGGCAGTGGTAGGTGACTCTGTGCCCTCTGGGAAGATTTGGCTTGGTAGGACTTCTGTACCATAGTGCATTTTGGTGTTTCCCACAGGCATTTTTGCAGGCAAAAGGAGTGACTGTTTAAGTCTTTAAACTTTTAATTAAACCTTAGGCTGAAGGCAAACTGCAGGAGGCATTGCAGGAGAAAGATGAGCATGCAGGTCTTAAACTGCATTCCAGCGAGTCTTAATTAGTAAAGTAATTCTGCTTATAAATATTAGCTGTAACTCGTTCCTCACGTTATCTGCTCCCTTTTGGTTGTGATGTTTCCAGAGAAATGTTAATGTCAGGTGTGCATTGATCCTGTAGGAGTGACAGTCATGAGCCTGCTGTCAGTTTTTGCTGGGGCAGCCAAGGATTTCAGGTGTGAGGTGTCACAGGTGAGATCAGTTACAACTGTTGTAGCTACAGACTTTACAGACAGATTTGGGTTGGGAGGGACCCTAAATCCCACCCAGTGCCACCCCATCCACGGCAGGGACACTTCCTCTGTCCCCAGTGTCCAGCCTGGCCTTGGGCACTGCCAGGGATCCAGGGGCAGCCACAGCTGCTCTGGGCACCCTGTGCCAGCCCTGCCCACCCTGCCAGGGAACAATTCCTGTGTAACATCTCATCTAAAGTGCCCATTTTCTCTGGTCTTGTAATGGGAAATTCCTGCCCAGTTCTCACCCTGCATGAACTGCCTAATGGAGCACAGGGCTTTGATGGATTTGGCCTCTGATGGAGCTTGACCTGAGAGATTATTTCTGCTGATCCCTAGTTGCTTTGTCAAGGGCATTAGAGAAGTGCTTGAGGCATGACACATAGCTCCTGGGGCACTTAATCAAATACATTTCAAAGATTTATAGAGAATCAGTGTCTATCAGAAAGGAATTTTATTTGGCAAAAAGGGGTCTTGGCAGTCCAGTACTTGTGGCGTGGGGAAAATAAATATGAGAAACAAGAACCAGCATTTTATGTCAAGAGCTAGTGCACTAGCCCAGCTTTTGATTTTTTAATATTTCCTTGTTGGGTCATTATCTGCCATTATCTGTACGCTTTTCTTTCTTTGTGTGGGCACAGAACCTTTCAGGTTGTTTGTTTCCTGCTGCAGCCATTCTCCTGAGCATATCCACCTTCCAGCTGCCCCTGGAGGCACTGAGGGGCACAGACCCTGCTCCCCACACCTCAGCCCCACAGTGGGCTCCAAGCAAACAGAAAGCTGTCCTCAGCATTGCCATGAGGGAGTAGGACTGAGCAAAGACATCCTGCATTGACTTAATAGGTGTGTCACTGTCCAAGTCTAATTTAAAATATTAACTGGTGATGCGGAATGAAGAATGAGAATACACCATTCCTATGAAGCAGTTGAGTTGCTCTTGGTGGCTGTATAGAGGTCATGGAGAAAAGGTGACAGAAGTGGAAAATGTAGGTGACAACAAGCTTTTGCAAAATAATCCATGTGGTGAGGAGTGTTTTGGTTGTGAAGGACATGCTTGGAGGCCAGCAACACAGAGAATGCTGTGTTTGGAGCAGAGCAGGGAGTGAGTCACACTTGGGTATCCCTATTTTGTGCAGACTTGAAATTCCCTGCCTGGTCAGAGCACAGGATGGCCAGGGCATGGCTCAGGGTTATTTGCTCATCTCAGGCTCTTTGCAGTGACAGATTCAGGCAGGGATCACACTTTGTGTAGGCTGGAGGTCTGCAGGTATCCTATCCCAAAACCTGCCAATCCCCCCCAGCCCCAGTGTGGATCACATTATTTAGAACCTTGTTCCCTGAGTTTTGGGTGTCTCTGGGTCTGTTCCAACATTTGACCACCTCTGTAGGGCAAAAGGCCTCTCTGATAGGTAACAGGAATTCCCCATGTCCTGGGTCTGTTGCCTCCTGTCCTGTCACTCTGCATCCCTGTGTGAGTGTGCAGCCCAGGCCGTGCCCAGCAGTGTGTGCTCTATCCCAGCTGTTCACCCAGCTGTTGCAGTGTTCTTTATCTTGCCCACAGCCCATCCTCCCTCCAGGAGATCTCTCCTGTTCATGGCCATGCAGTCCCAGGGCAGGGCTGATCAAATTCCATCATCCCATGGGGAGATGCTCCAGCCAGGGCAGGAGCCGAGCATTTCCTACCCAGATCAAAGGGGAGATTTGGAACAGCAGAGCAGCCTTTTCCCACTGCATCCCAGAGGAAAACCAGAGCCTTGCACATCATCCCTGCAGCTTTGGAGGAAAACTGCACCTTGTGCAGGAGCCCTGCTCCAGCAGAACCACATCTGTCACTGCAGGAGGATGCAGCCACCATGGAATGGGACTGCACCAACCCTGACTGACTGACGGGGGCACCTTGGATTCTCCCTCTGCCCCTGCTCTGGGTTTGTTCTCTGCAATACTGCATTGCTATTGGCATTTTCCTGGCAAAGAACTGCTATTCCTATTCCCATATCCTTGCCTGAGAGCTCCTTAATTTCAAAATTATAATAATTTGGAGGGAGGAGGTTTACATTGTCCATTTCAAGAGAGGTTCCTGCCTTTCTTGGCAGACACCTGTCTTTCAAACCAAGACAGCCTCCAAGGAGAGTCTTGAGCCTGGTTTCCCCTGATGCAGACAGTGGTGGACATCACAGAGATATCCTCTTAGCATTCTCCTCCCAGGCTGTGCCTCTGCTGAACCCCATGAGGCTTCCAGCAGCCCACTCCCACTGTGAAATGCTCTCTGAGGAGCAGCCCTGCTCTCCAGCTTTTATCTAGTACCATCACTGGACTAAGAGATGCACCTCATCCTCCAGGATGTTGTTAAGGGCACTGAAACAGAGTCCACAGCCCCACACCAGCCCCTCAGGAATGCTGTCAGCAAGTGTCAGCCTGCTGGACATCATGCTGCTGCCCATCAGCAGGCTTGCAAATCAGCAGGAAAAAGCAAAATACAGGCTCAAATCTGAGGACACTTGGCCCACAGTTGGATTTTGTGTTGAGCTGAGAGTTTTGGAGAGCTAACAGTGAATTCTTTCCAGTTTTGCTTATTTGCCTTCTATGTAAAATCAGCAAAAGTCTTCCTCCCCCAGAATTACTATTATTAACCACCATTTGGAAAGATAGCAGCAAAATGCTAGGGAATGTGCCCAGCATAGATGAGGAAGTGACAGTAATCACATGGAAGCTCCAGCCTCCTTTACATTCAGCAGCTCTCCTTCTGAGCCAGCACACCATGCTGCTGATTTTCAAGAGCAGCTAATTCACCATCTAGCTCTCAATTAGCTTCCAATTGTGGCTTTTAAAGTCTGTAGCCAGTTATGGGCCAGCTAATCCAGCCACAGCTCTGCAGATATGACTCACCCAGGGACCTTCCTGTGTTCTGGCTGTGAAACACTCTGTTTCCATATGCAAAACAGAAGCAATCAGTGGGATTGTGAGCGCTTGCTGGCTTTTTCCTTTCTGCTGTACTGCTGAGCACATGGGAGCAGGGTGAGCGTGGAGATGTCCCTCGTGTGGCAGCACGTCCTCAGGCACTTTGGGAGGGACAGCTGAGCCAGACCCCATTGCCTTGGGGGCTGAGAGCTGCAGGAGGGGGCTGCAGCAGGCTGTGCTGGGCACCTTTAGTGGGATGCAGAATATCAGCAAACTGATTTGCCTGATGGTTTTTGGGCCAGTTTGCTGCAGCCCAAAGGGCACAGGGCAGAATTGAGCAGGGTGCTTATGGGAGGCATTGTAAATATGTCCAGAAGTGCAAGTGCTGCACAGAATTAGAGATCTGTGCTTTTTGCACAGCTGAAGTGAGTCTCTTGTTATCACCCACCACGAAAGGGGAGCAGCCCCCCCAAAAAGAGCATCCCAGGGTGGTGGTATGGGTGCACCCCAGTAAAGCTGCACCCAGACCGGTTTGTCACAGTGCAGGCAGGCATGGAGGAGACCTCAGGTGTCAGGGAGTGTTTTATTACACAATTATTTTATACAGAGATGTACAGGGGTGCCTTTCCATCAAAGCGGCAGCCACGTTTACCCTCAGCAGCGACTTCATCTCCTGCTGAACTGGGGCAGGGGGGGTGGCACCTTGATGTCTTGGCCTCTTTCCAGCTTCTTCTCGCAGTCAACGAGGTAATTGACCCCATCGATGACAATCTGGACAAGCTCCACCTACAACAGGGAGAAAATTGTATTAACAGAAGGTTTAGCTGGTCTGTTAATAGAGGGGTGGGAAGTTGGCTTGTGCTGTGACAACAGCAGGCAAAGCTGCAAGTGAGGAGGGTGACAGATACCACCCAGGGAGTATGGGCTGTGCAAAGCCACAGTAATTCCCTTCTCCTGTTTGCCCTGAGTTTGCACCACCAGCAGCAGAAACTTTTGAAAGGAATGGCAGATTTGTCTTTACAAAAAGCTGTGGGTCTGCTGGTGGATAAAACGAGCACTGAGAGGTAAAAGAAACAATGGGATGGATTCCACTGATTGATGAATGGAAAGAGATAGTTGCCTTTACAAACAAACTGTAGGGCTGCTGATAAATCAAATTGGATATTGAAAGATGAAAGAAGCAATGAGGAAAAACTATGAATTCTATAAGAATTAAAAATTAAAAGGGAGGGTTATACATTAGAGGGGAATCTCAGGTTTCAGGTGTCTGGGAAGTCTGCACCTCTCAGGTACCTCAGCCCATGGGGAAAGAGAGAGGGAAATGTGAATAAAAAGGGAGGTGAGTCCTCCAAAAATTTGAGAGATCCCAGGGGAATGTCCTATGGCCTCTGCCTTTATTCGAATAAAGCAAAAGGGACTCCTCTGTCTCCTTTTTGGGCATAAACCTGTGGTGTTTGTGGATTAATTTTCCTGACACATTCAGTGTCAGGACACTTTAGGTCCCTAAACTGTGCTCCCACAGGAACAAAGCAAGGGGCAGAAGTCCCTGTAGGCAGTGTGGAGCTGAGGGAGCTGTTTCAACCATGACCCCCAGGAGGGTGCAGGGTGCTCCCCAGGTGATGCTGAGCAGGGAGGCGTGGCCCAGAGTGTTCCCTGTTGGATCCCTGGCCACTGAGAATTTGAGACTTTCTGTTCTAGCAGGGACTGGCCCCCAGGAAAACACTGCATTTGACCCGAGGCCATGGAGAAAGCCTCCAAAATTGAGTGATAGAACTGGGGTCATGGGTGTGTAATTGAAATAGAATTGTGTACTATCACATGGTGGAAAACTTGGAGTTTAATGTTTTAGAATATAGTGATATATATATAAAAAAAGGTGACGGTTTTAAGGTGGAGCTTTGTCCTTCTTCACTTTCTTCATAAATCTAGGTGATATTGTGCGAATAAATAAAAAAGTCCACATTGCAAGCCACAAGTAGTTAGTTATTAAGTTAAAAATAAAAATAGCTTAAGTAACATTTCATAATTGAGTAATTTACCCGTAAAAGGTCCTGTAAATAAAAACAACTCCATTTTCAGTTTGTTAGCTTAAAGTACTGTAAAACACACAGTTTATGAAAATGTAATATAAATAAAAGCTAACAAGCATCTAAGTCCAAACAAAAATACCATCTCACTCATTCAATCCCAACCCTAAAAAAAAAAATAAACCTGAGCACAGTGGTGCAGGAGGGTGAGGACACAGAGCAGCCCTGCTGTGAGTGCTCAGCCCTGCCTGGCAGGGATTGATGGAGCCCTGAAGCCCTTGCTGTGTCTCCCCAAACACCCCATGCTTGGAGAGTGGGCACAGAGAAATGGAAATTAACTGGGAGGGATGCTGGTGCAAGGAGAGCAAGGAGGAGGCTTGGCCTGGTTCACATCAGCCCTGAGTGCTGCTGGGGGCTCAGGGTGTCTGTGTGAGTGTGCAGCCCAGGCAGTGCCCAGCAGTGTGTGCTCTATCCCAGCTGTTCACCCAGCTGTTGCAGGGTTCTTTATCTTGCCCACAGCCCATCCTCCCTCCAGGAGATCTCTCCTGTCCATGGCCATGCAGTCCCAGGGCAGGGCTGATCAAATTCCATCATCCCATGGGGAGATGCTCCAGCCAGGGCAGGAGCCGAGCATTTCCTACCCAGATCAAAGGGGAGATTTGGAACAGCAGAGCAGCCTTTTCCCACTGGATCCCAGAGGAAAACCAGAGCCTTGCACATCATCCCTGCAGCTTTGGAGGAAAACTGCACCTTGTGCAGGAGCCCTGCTCCAGCAGAACCACATCTGTCACTGCAGGAGGATGCAGCCACCATGGAATGGGACTGCACCAACCCTGCCTGACTGACGGGGGCACCTTGGATTCTCCCTCTGCCCCTGCTCTGGGTTTGTTCTCTGCAATACTGCATTGCTATTGGCATTGTCCTGGCAAAGAACTGCTATTCCTATTCCCATATCTTTGCCTGAGAGCTCCTTCATTTCTAAATTATAATACTTTGGAGGGAGGAGGTTTACATTGTCCATTTCAAGAGAGGCTTCTGCCTTTGTTAACAAACACCTGTCTTTCAAACCAAGACAGTGTCCTTGGTGTGGCTGGGACTGGCAGGGACATTCACAGAGGCTGAGGAGTCTCAGAAGAGCAGACCTGGGTCCTTCCCCTGCAGTTGGCCACAGCCCTGCTGGGGAGCATCCTGCCCACCCTGCCAGGCTCAGCACACACAGCTCAGGAATGATGCTGGCTCTCCTGTGCTCCCAGCCCCCAAGTTGATGCCTTAGGGTTTGGGTTTTATATTTTTCAGATTCTGTCGTACTGCTTTAGTGTATAACTCTAAACTCCATGGCCTGTCAGCTGCTGTTCTCCCATTTCATTCAGGCAAAACAATTCCTCTCTATGCCAGAAACTCAAGGACACCTCACTGCCTCAGGCCCTGAGAGATGGAAACAAAAGTGAATTGGGGGGAGCAAACCTGGAGAAAATGACTTCATTACCTGAAGCTATAATTGGACAATTACCTGCTGATACGCAAATGGATCAAATTTATAATTGTGTGAAAAACTGATGACCATTGTCCATCTTGGGTGCAGCCTCTGGTAGACTTTTGACAGCCCAAGGTGTATCGATTGAAGGCCTTTAATAAATGTCTGATTTTATCCTGTCAGTTTTGTCCAGCCTCTGCTCCAGGTGGCCACTCCAAGGCATCAGAGTGACACTGCCAGGGGTGGGGTTCACTCCAGGCCCAGAGCAGCACCAAAATTCATAATTCTGTATGGCAGGGGGTGGTGGTGGTGTCTTTGTAAACCTGTTTCAAAATTGCTGGAGAACACAGAGGGCCTTGTCCCCAGCAGACAGGTGACATGTAAGGAGCACAGACCCTGTGGCAAGATAAAGCTGACATTTCTTCATCTCCATTAAATGGTTCATTAGCAACCCTTAATGACTGGCTTGTTAAAACCGAGTGTGAAGACTAAATCCCATTGTCCCTTTATTGTGACAGTTGCTGATGTTCAAGGGATTTGTTTTTACTATAAAGCGTTTTGGTGGCTTAGCAGTTTATTTTATTGTCTTTTAAAACTAGCTGTGTTGGGAATTCAGAGGTCTGAATTTGCAGCCTCCATAAGAAAACAAAATTTCATATTAAGTTTGCATTGACCAGTAACTGAAACAGAGCAAAAATACAAACAGTTTTATCTTACACCTTTGGGAACATAATTCAGTTCTGCAAGCACATTGACCACATAATGGAATTTATTTAATTAGGTACTGGAAAAATTTTATGGTATAATAGAACTTTTCTTATCCCCTTGAATATGTCTTGTCTTATTTAGATTTCAGAATCTCCAAGGTAGGGCTAGTGTCTTATCTGTTAATCTTATCTGCCTTAATCCTTTGGATCCTTGCTGTAGGAGGCATCACTGACTTCAGTGGAACTCTTCATATAAACTACAATTTGTAGGCTTAGTCTGTCAGCAGGACTGAATTAATCATGCTGTGTAATCCTTTTTTTTATTATTAATATTACTTTAATATAAAACACACATGGTGATGTGTCAGGTGCTAATAGATGTCTTTGTTACAGGCTGTTTTGGCAAATAATACAGCTTTATACTATTTTCTTATTTTCTTATTTCTTTTGTTCTCTGTGACTTATTTTATTCTAGATCCAAAGGAAAATGGATGCCTACATCAAAATTCAATAATTGGAGTTTCCAGACATCTGCCCGTGGCTGTGGGGACATTGAAAGGCACATCTGGATCAGAAAGCACAGGTCACCTGTGGGCTCTGTCCCTGTGGCAGGAGAGCCGGGAGGGGAAGGCACTGTGGGCTGGGTTAATATTGTTATATTTCTATTATGAAAACCTGCCTAGAATGAGGCTGGCCCCGGGTCCTGGGCTGCAAGAGCAGGACCAGAGTGCATCCATATCCAGCCTGCCACAGCCTCGGGGTTTGTCTCAGCCAGAGCTGCGGGAGGAGGCTGCAGCTCCCCAGCCTCGATAGCTGTGCTCGTAGGAACTGCTCTGCCTCAGGAAATAGTTAATGCTGAGGCTGGAATGAGGTGTGGGACCCGAGCTGGCAGGAGGGCAGCAGCTGCTCCAGGCTCAGGGGCATTTCCAGGCTCTGGCACTGCAAATGGTGCTTCTCTCTGATGGCTTTGCAGTAAATGTCTGAGCTGCACCCGCCTTGCTGCAGGCTGTGCCCTACAGGCAAGGCTCAGGGCTCACCATTAAACCTTTGCCCTGATTTACATCTCATTTTTAAACACAGCTCTCTCGTGTCCTGTGCTGAGAGCCACACAGGACAGGTGAGAACATTCCCTGTGGAGTGGGAGCTTTGTGCTGCTGTGTGTCTGTGCAGGAAAAGGAGCACAACCCTCCTCACCTGGCCTTGCTTTAGTGCCTGAGCCCCTGGGGGGTTCCTGTGTGGGTGTGTAAATGTAAATGACACTGATAGAACTGTGGATTTAATCAGCATGTGCAGCTTGATAACCAGGATGCCTTGGCAAGAGCAAACAGAGCTCTGACTGCAAGAAGATTGGATCAAATCTGGCTGATGGGAAAGAAGATTGAACTAAGTAGAAAGGTAAAGTTTGTCTATGTGATGTTTAACTAAACGATTGTAGTAAAATATTACTGGCTTTCCTGAAATGGTATATAAGCACGTGTAGTGCTCAGTAAAGTTGGACTGTGATCACCATCCAGTGTCCCCTCTCTCAATATTCTTACACATGCATGAGAGGAATGTCAGATTTGTCTTTACAAAAAGCTGTGGATCTGCTGGTGGATAAAACCAGCACTGAGAGATAAAAGAAATAATGAGATGGATTCCACTGATTGATGAATGGAAAAAGTTATTTGCCTTTTTACAAACAAACTGTAGAGTTGCTGATAAATGAAATTGGATATTGAAAGATGGAAGGAACAACGGGGAAAAAACTATGAATTCTATAAGAATTAAAAATTAAAAGGGAGGGTTATACATTAGAGGGGAATCTCAGGTATCAGGCGTTTGGGAAGTCTGCACCTCTCAGGTACCTCAGCCCATGGGGAAAGAGAGAGGGAAATTGGGATAAAAAGGGAGGGGAGTCCTCCAAAAATTTTAGAGACCCCAGGGGAATGTCCCATGGCCTCTGCCTTTATTCGAATAAAGCAAAAGGGACTCTTCCGTCTCCTTTTTGGGCATAAACCTGTGGTGTTTGTGGATTACTTTTCCTAACATGCATCACCCTATGGAAATCCTCAATCCTGGAGATCCCATGGCCATATTTGTGCAGCTTGCTCAGTGCTGGGTTTCCCCACTGCCATGACAGGAGCATTTATCCAACCCTTCATGCACATTAACAATTCTCTTTCAGTGAGCATTTCCCCTGGGCCAGACTCGCAGAACCTGCGAGGTCAGCAGAGGGAAAGTGCCCCGTGTCAGGACGGATCTCAGCCCAAAAGCGAGGGCAGGGCAGGGAAAGGAGCCCCAGGAGGAGCAGGAGGAGCAGGAGGAGCAGGGTACCTCTGAGCGACCCAGGCGGTCCAGGTTGGAGATGTCGTAGATGTCAGCCACGGCTGCCGTGTCCACGCCGCCAGTGCCACGCTTCTGCAGGCGCAGGTTCTCCAGGATCTTGGAGAACCTGGGGTCCTGTCAGGACAAACAGCTCTGAGCCACTGCCTGCCCTGAGCGGAGTCTCTGTGGCGCTTACAGCGCTGCCACAGGGACAGCCAGAGGGGCAGGGTTTTCCCACTCCCTCCTCACAGCCCACCTCTGCGGCTGCCCTGCTGTAAGCGGATGGATCTCCATGACAAGCACAGCGACTTGCAGCATTACAGCACGCTGGCTGAGCCCTGCACTACCCCCCGTTACACACATGCTGGCAGCGTGCATGGCCACGAGCTGTCACTTCTGCTCTGCCATTTCCCCTCTGTCCCTCTGCACACCGGGACAGCTGGCATTTGTCACTCTTGTCACACCGGGGTGCCGTGTGTACCTTGCTGAGCCTGGGCAGCTTGACGTGGACTCCAGCACGCAGCCCCGTGCCCAGGTTGGAGGGACAGGTCAGCACGTACCCCAGGCGCTCGTTCCACATGAACTCCCAGCCCCTCTCCTTGATCAGCCTTTCCACCTGCAGGGCAGCACAGAAACAAAAACAAAAAGGGCTGAACAATCAGGTGTCTTGTCAGGTGGCAGTGGAGCAGCAGGAATTTACACCTGGGTGCAGCGTGGTCTGGATGTGATTGATATAAATGTTTGCACTCCTCAGGTACCACAAGGATTTCTTCACCACCTTCTCATCACCATTGCAGAGTCTTGGTCACTTCATCAGAAAACTCCCTGTCATGGTGTTTTGGTAAAACCTTAGCCCATGGAGACACATTCTCACTTAAGAGTTATGGCTTTCACCAAATGTTTTTAACAAATTAATTTTGAAGCAAGCTTTCAGCACAAGACCCCAAAGGACTCAAGCACTGGGAAGCAAAGCAGGAGCTGAACCTGAGTTTTGTGTAGTTTTCCAGCTGATGCCAGGACTCTGTGAAGAGAACATTTGGCCTCTAAATGCCCCACTTCCATTACAAGGAGACAACACAGCATGTAGGTGAGAGTTCTCATTAGTAGGTCTCTGAGCAGAATTGACAGGAGAGTGAAATAATTACCTGCAGGAAAATCACAAGGCTCCATTGCTCTTTGAATAACCTGGCACTCATCTATGCTGATGCAAACCCAGGACAATTTCAGTTCAGTTCTCATCTCCCCCTGAGGAGAACTGGATACATAAACCAGCTCATGCTCACAGGACTCCTACAAATACAGCTGAATACTTCAGCTCTCAACAAGGACACAGAATAAATTACTCTGCTAAGATAATTTCTGTATTTTGTGAGGATAACACAGCTGATGGTGGGAAGCTAGACCTGATTTGCAGCCCCAGACACCTGCTGAGGGCACAGCTCCCAAAGCTGCCCCACCATTTTCCATGTCCACAGGTTGGCATGAGCTCAGCTTAAGGGCAGAGGCAAGGCTGGGAACAACACCTGGGAGCTGTGTCACCTGGGCCAGCACCTGTGCACTGCTCAGTCCCACAGGTGTGCCTGGAAACCCACTCTGGAAACTCTCAGTAACCACCTTGATGCCAACAGAGCAGAAATCTGATTTTCTGAGCCCCAAAACCCACTGCAAACCCTAACCCTAACCCAAACCATTCCAGAGTTCCTGGGTATTACCCGTGGGACACAGTAAAGTTCTATTTCTCTGGTAAATCAACTTCTTTGTTTTTGCCAGAGCAGCTCAGAGGGCTGCACTGGGCTCAGACCCAACCTGAGTCGTACCTGGACTGTCTGGACAAAACTGTTTTAACCCATACCCTGTGCCAGGAAGCCTTTATTATCATTGTGATTTTCTAGGCCAAAATAATACCCTGACTATCAGTTCTTAGTATTTTAATCACAAACCCCCATATCTCCCCAAAATAGTGGGTCCTAAACCCTGAGCCCTGTGTGCAGCCTCAGCAGCCTGCACTCTGCTCCCAGCCTCAGAACTGAGAACCAGGAGGATGGGCCAAATAAAGCCTTCAACCAAACCATCCAAATAAAATGCTTCATTTATGATTTCCCACAGTCTGCAGGCACAAAATGGGGGGGGGGGGAGAAAAAAGGAAATTTTGCTCATTATTTTTTCCCTACACCTCAGTAGCAAGCTGCCCGTGTTTCCTGCTTTAGCTGTGTTGATGTGGGTTGTTGTGTGGACTGATGTGACTTCAGTTCATTGCCCCTGGAGATGCTCAGCATGAACCACAGCAAGCAGGGGTGACTGCAGTGAGCAAACAGGGAGAACAAAGTCATTGAGACACTACCTCTTTTAATCCACGGCAGAATCTTTCAAAGACACGTTTCATGTTGCCACCCTTCTCCATGGAGATCACCCTGGTGTGATCCTCTTCATTAATCCAAATGAGAAATGTCTTCTCATTGTTGTGCCTAGTCAAGAGGGGCGGAAAAAACCGACAGATGTAAAAAGGCAAGCCCTGGGAAATAATCCTCAGCATCCTTAGTTTTAAAAATCCTTAAAATCCTTAGTTTTATCACAGTCTTTCCAAGCAGCAGAGACGTTAAACATGTCATAATGAAACCGTTTTCTGGAGTGAGGGTGTGGAGTGGTTCCCCCACGGGATCCCTTGTGCCTGTGGCATTACAGGGTCTCGGGCTCAGTGTGAGCACAGGTTTCTGGTCACATCATGCTGCTGTGCAAGGAAAACATGTGGTGCTCCAGCAGGAGCAGGGCTGGGTGTAAGAGCCAAAAATGAGGGATAGGGGCTCCAGGAGGCTCTTTAAAATGCTGTTTATTGTATCCAAATGATACAGCAATTTATTTATTATTTTAAATGCTGTTTATTGTATCCAAATGATACAGTAATTTATTTATTGTTTAAAATGCTGCTTATTGTATCCAGAGGATTCAGCAATTCACAGGTCCTGGGTGACAGAGCCCAGCCCAGCCTGTCACCTCAGCTGGGGGTTTGTCTGAAACCTCTCTAGTTCTGGTTACAATGCATTATAAACTTTCCATTGCAGAGCATCTTAATACATGACAACCAATCAATACCTTTACTACAACCTATAGCCCATCATAACTACCAATATCACCATATTCATGTTACTATTCTGCAGTCACAAAAAGTCAGTGTGTTACAGCTTAAGCTAGAAGTTGTTTTTCAGTTTTCTTGTAGTGGAAAATTCTGAGATCTTTTCTCGACTTGTAACATTGGCTGTCTTGTTTGCCTGTGGAACCTTTTTGCTTGGTAAAAACATCTTTTGTTTGAGGTGGGTTTATCCTTTGCTCTAAGTCATAAAAACCCCTTCCAATTCATTTTACAATTGCCTTCTAGTTACCCAGTCAGACTGGCTCAGCAATTCTTTTTTTCTGTATCAAAACTTGCTCTAATTTCTATTCCTTCTTCAGATTCTACATTCAGAGATCCTTGTGTTACACACACATATCTGTGAGACCTTCCTGTCAAAGCCTTGTCCTTCCCAACAGCCGGGGATGCAGCCAAGGGAGAAGCCAAGCCCTGCACCCTCTGTGCTCAGGGAAGGGTTCTATGGCTCCCAGAAAACCCAAACACCCTCGTGGTGCTGGGAGCCCAGCAATGTTGCCTTGATTTTGTTCTCGCCTTCCTCAGACCCCAGCAGCACTGGGTGTCTGCACCCCTCAGGGATGTGTCTGGGCTGCTGAGTGACCCTGCTCTGCCAGGCAGGACAGAACCCCTGGAAATCCACTCCTGCCTCAAGCAGGCGGGCAGGGCTGGCTTTGTTAAGTGCTGGGTCACTTTTCCTGGCTTTTCCTCTACTTGGCCAGTGTCCTACTGCCTTCCTACAGCACGGAGGAGCTGATGGATGGGATCAGACCCATTTGTGCCAGCAGTGAAATATCACCAGGCTGAAGACACGAAAGTGAAAGTTCAAGATCACTGGGAGCCTGACTTCCAGCTGGTGTTTTGCTGCATCTCCTTTTTCTCTCTGCAGTTGGAGCTGGGCAGTGCAATGCTGAGCAGGTGTAAACATCCTGTGCCCTGACACTGGGGTCAGGCCAGGTCCACTCACCTCCTCCTCAGGCACGCACAAATGCTGGGGAAGAGTTTTATAAATAGCCTGAGTTTGGCCTAACTCACCTCCCCCTTTAGTTAAAAAAGTGTCCCCACTGCTTTTGGGACACTTAAACTGTGTCATTGCTGACAGTGCTGCTGGGGGAAATGGTCCTGCAGCCTGTAACAAGGACAGGATCAAAATCATCAAAAGCAGAATGATTTCCACAATGTGCACGCTTTTAGACAGCAATTCTTTGCACGAGAAAGGCAGATTTTCAAGATGTGGCTTACAGAAGTACTTCCAATCACCCTATTTTTTTTTCCATTCTTCCTGATATTCCACATGCAAAAGAAGCCAAAGCCCAGGTCTGCTTTATTTGGGAAATCCCTGGATAGTAATTTTGCTGTTAGTAGTTCTGGTTGTTTGCAGAGACAATGAATGAAGGATAAATAAAGTCTCAAGCTTTATCCTTTTCCTCTTCCACAGACTTCAATGAGACTAAAGAACCTGCACCTTGTGGAACCTAATAGGATTGTTGAAATAAAAAAACATCCTCACAGTTTTCCAGCAGGTCACTGGGTTTTGTGGGTGATGAGGTTTCACACTATGCCTCAGAATGCTTTTTTCCTGTTTTTTTTAGCGTTACATCACCTGGCAATGCCTACAAGTGCAGCTGGATGGAGGCAGACACTGTGCACGGCATCCTCTGCTGTTGGTTTGGGCCTCACCTCTGAGTTTGGGCACTCATCCTACCCCTTTATCTCCACAGCAGATGTTGTATTTGGGCCCAATATCAAGTCTGCTGTGACAGTAGAACCAGACCTAGAGCAGAGCAGGAAATCCAACTTCCCTGTCTCCTTCTGACCCAGCTCAGGGAAGAGTTGCTGTCATCCCCGGGAATTAAAACATTTCTCTTTTGAGAGCAAACTGGGCATGCTGTGAGTGTGGGGCCAGAGTTGGTGCAGGGTTAGTTCAAGCAAGGAGGGTTGTAAGACGATCTTTGGGCAGGACAGAGCACTCTGTGCAGGTCACACCACGTACCAGATTCCTCTGGCGTCCGGCCAGTCCCGGGCCATCCCAGCACATGTCAGCAAGGGGGACACTGGCTTGTCAAAGAGAAAGTGGTCCTGGGCACCCAGCAGGGCCAAAGGCAGACAGAGACACAGAGGAAACAGAGCAGAACTCCAGTTTATCCAGGAGGCACTGTCACGCTGTCCACAACTTCCTTTTTTTTTTTTTTTTTTTTTTTGGTGAAGGCATTGGGAGCACAAGCAAATCACTCAGTACAGCCTGGTTCCTTCGCCTGCAAACTAAAATCTCTTTACCCAGGTGATTCTCTTAAAGTCTTGCAGATGCTCACTGACATGTTTTGCACACAAATATTTTTCCCAAATGTAGTTAGGGATGGGAGGTGGGGCCTAAATCCACCCAAGGATGCTTTGGAGGACCCGGCTCCAGAGATCTCAGCATTCAGACACATCTCAGCATAGGAGAGGACAGTGAGTTATTAAAGATTGGAAAAAAAAATACAACCAAAACCCAAACAATAAACAGTGCTAGTTCTGAACATATATGATTCTCCAGCATGGATATTCAGATATTTATTCTGAGCATGAACTCAGAGTAGGAATTAAATCATTGCTGATCTCAACCCTTTGGAATCTCAGGCTTGTTATGCTCCTTAACAGAGATGCTACTTGTGACTTAGTAAATGCAGCACTTGATGTGCCACCAACCTGCCCCATGCCTGACACTTTAGATTTTTCAAAATTAATCGTTTCGGGGTTTTTTCTCCCAAAGAAAATAAGTGTTTTATATGGATTTTCGTGTGTGCTAAAAACCTAGTATTTCTTAATTCCTTGAACACCGCCATATCAAATGTTGGGAGTGTTTTGCTGGCAATGTTGTTGGTTTTATTCTCTTATTTTTTTATACCTAGGGCTTAATGAGAATTAGTGAGGCACTCTATCCAGAAGGCATATGACGTGGTAGACACATTGATATGCTTTACTTCATTTTTCCCTTAATGAAGAATATAATAATTATTGTTATATTCTTCATTTCACTTAGGTTTTCATCTTTGAATGCTTTGTAATGGGCACGGTGCAGCCTGAGCTCCAACCATGCAGGAAGAAAAGGTGTAGAGTTCACTTTGTTCTTCAAAGGGACACAAAATTTCCTTCCTCAGCTTGCTCCAAATGGAACAAAAATTCCCCTTTTTGCAAGAAAAGAGCTGCTAGTTTTCCTCACGAGCATATGGCCCCAATCTGCAAAACAGCAAATGCCTTCTGTGCTGAGTGCAATTCAAGTAGCACTGATTTATCTCACTGAAATAAACTTTGATCTTGCTGAGCTCAGATGGTGCCTTTTAGAAGCTGGCAGGAATCCCACAGAGGTGCCAGGTCCTGGAGGGGGTGAGCAGTGGTGTGAGGCAAGGGATGGATCTCAGGTTACTACATCAGTGTGTGATCTCTGTAAATCTGCATTATCCATCGTGAAACCAACCAAAATGAGATAAAATGCTGAGTCAGTGACACCTTACTCCACTTCCCACAGGATTTAGCCTTAAACCATGAAGGAATTACATTAATTACATTTTCCACACTCCTGTTTCAACCTCAGCTTCCTGAGGAGCTGTCTCCTGCTGAAAGTAAAACCTGCGATAGGTCATCAACATCTCGTCAATAAAAATATTACCAGGGACATTCAATTAAAAAAGTTACTGACCTTACATAAATTCTTAACTCCTGGTTAATCCAGACACCTGTTTCCAGGGTTATAAATAGTTACCTTACTTCATCAGCTCCCCTTTGGTTGATGTTATGGAATAATGTGCCATGAATATAGCTAAGAGGGTACAGCCATTCCTTTGGATACTTAAAATGCACATTTCAAGCTTTGTTTGACATGTCACATGCTGTGACAAAATCCATGATGAAAATCCTTGTGTTTCCATCTGTGTGACAATGAAAACTCTTGTTATAGGCCGGGTTCTTCAACTCCTTAAACACAACGACAGGACTGGGAAAAAATTCACCTGGGTGCAATAAGCTACGGCCACTTCTGGGAAATTAGAGCTAGCGGAGTGTTCGCTTATGGAATTGCGGCCAGATTTTGGGGAATCAGAATTAGTGTCATTCCGACGGAGAGAAACCACAGCAAAGCCCCTCCACCCCCACAGCATGGAATGCAGGCAGGGTGTAATAACTACTGCGGTGTGATACTTTTAGTTAGAATGGTTAGTCGTATAGAAAGTATCAATCGTTCAGTGTACTTTAGGAAGTAGCAGTCTTTCAGTGCAACGTAGAAAATATCAATATTTTGGTGTAATATGGAAAATATCAATCTTTCAGTCTAGTATGGAAAACATCAATCTTTCAGTCTAGTATGGAAAATATCAATCTTTCAGTCTAATAGAGAAAATATCAATCTTTCTTGGTCCAGGAAATGACCAAGGAAAGGTGCTGAATTTAACCCTTTACTGGTCCAGAGAGGCGGCAGCAGCCGCCTGTGTTTGATTTGACCTCGCTCCCTGGAACATAAATACAAATACAAATCCACGCTTCAGCCCTGCGGGGTGATGCACCTAGCAGAAATACCGACCCTGGGTGCTGGCTATCCCGTCACAAGCATCACGTCCAGGTTAGTGGTGCGGTTATCCCTGCCGGGATTCCCCGGGGAAGGCGGAGGTGATGCTGGCTCGACTTACATCGATGAGCTGCTGCTGCTCCCGCTCGGTCATGCTGGTCAGGCTGTAGTACTTGCCGGACAGGTCGCCCCGCAGGCCGGACAGGGCGGTGACCACCACGTTCTCCACCTCCCTGCGCTCGGCGCGGGTGCAGGCGGGCGGCAGGCTGAGCCCGCGGATGCTGCGCCCCGTGCGCACCCGCGATGACAGCACGTAGCGCTCGTCGAACTGCCCGTGGGTGATCTGCGGGCAAACAGCGGGCAGGCCATGGCTACCGGGGCAGCCCCGAGGCCGCCGTGCAGGGCGAAGGGCGGCTCTGTGCCCTGGAATGCCGTCCTCGGCATCCCTGGTCTCTAATGGCCAGGGTACCGGGAGCCCTCTGCGCACCTGCAGTGCCTCAAGGCTTAGCTTTCACTTTTTCTACATTCTGTACTGCACTAGGATATAACTCTGAACTCCACACAAAGTGTTCCGAGTTCTCCTCCCAGCTCAGGCACACAGAACAATCCTTTTCCAGCCCCACAACCAAGGACAGCTGCAGCTCCAGCCCCAAAAAGTGCAAAGAGCAGAGAATGGAGGAGAGAATCTGGGAGGGTGGGACTGCAGAGCCTGGAGCTGGGATTGGACAATGAACCCCAAGGTGGGAATGGACCCAAACTGATCCAAGTGTGAAACTCCTGACCCAGGCTCCATCCTGGGTGTAGCCATGGTCAGGCTCTTGTAGTGCCCAAGGTGAATCCTTGGAAAGGCTTTTAATAAATTCCAATTTATTCCTTTCCATAAATCCCAATTTATTCCTTTTAATACATCCCAATTTGTTCCTTTAACTCTGCCCAGCCTCTGCTGCAGGCAGCCTCCCCAGGCATCACCAGGAGTGGTTGTTAGCAATAACACCTTTCTCTGGCTGAATGGATGTGTGGGAGTAACCAGCTCCTCCTTCATGGTCCCCAAATATGAAGGAGCCCACATGGCTTTTGGGAAATATGGATATGGGCACAGGCAGAGGGCCAAGTAAGGAAGGTCCTTTGGAAGAGGGAAGTTCAAAATGAAATAAACCACACTGTAGCTGAAGTATGAAGGAAATACTGAGCTGCACATGAAGTTTGATCATGTGTATGTGAGGGGACTGGATTCAACTCCTGCTTTCACTCCATGCCTTAGGCCCATGCCAATCACAGGAATTGCAGCCCAAGGAATTCCATGCACACCAACAGGTGGCTTCATCAGAGAAAGCTCTCCACAAAGCACTGTACGTGGGGAATGAGGAGGAGGGGTCAGATGTGTGCATGCCAGCAGGGCTGCCCTCACTGCCACCATGGGGACAGGGAGGGACACTCAGCTGTGGTGGAGGGACACAGGCTCCCTGGGAAGGCGAGCAGGGGAGATGAGGAGGGGGTGTCACCCTTCCAAGTGGTGTTCAGGTGAGTGCAAGATCACTCTCTGGACTGCAGGAGAGCAGACCTCAGCCTCTCCAGGGATCTGCATAAAGCCCTGGAGGGAGCAGGGGCCCACGGATGCTGGGTAACATTCATGGATCAACTCCTCCAAGCTCAGGAGTGAGGCAGCCCAAGAAGGAGGGCATCACACCAAACATCAGGAGGCCTGTGTGGATGAGCAAGGGGCTCCTGAACAAGCTCAGACACACAAAGGAAATCTACAGAGGGTGAAAGCAAGGACAGGCTTCCTGGGATGGGAGAGCAGCTGAGGCTCTGGATCCCTGGCAGTGCCCAAGGCCAGGCTGGACACTGGGGCTGGAGCAGCCTGGGACAGTGGGAGGTGTCCCTGCCATGGCAGGGGTGGCATGGATGGGATTTAGGGTCCCTTCCAGCCCAACCCGTTTTCTGATGAGTCTGATCTGTAAGCTCATGAACAGACCCACAGTGCCCAGTGAGGCTGTGTCCCAAATGTTTGGTACAGCTGGGACTGATTCCCTGCTGAGAGCGAGGGATGGAGCTGACAGGGCCGTGTCATCAGCACCCCAATTTCCTTAAACATAATACTGGGCCTCAGAGCTGGATCAAGAGAAATGGAAGCACTGTTGCCTTTCTTGTCAGCCTGTTTTATCTCGGTCCTACCTTGGATGCATCCAGGTCCGTGTGATGCCTCATTGTCCGTGGGTCATAGCCATTGTGTCTGGCTTTAATGACAGGGTCAAAAATCTCAGCAAACACCTGTGGAGTCAAGAGAAGCTAGACAGAGTCTGCAGCATCACAGAAACACAAACACAGCCTCTCAGCAGCCCCGGGCAGAGGTTCCAGTCTGCACTCACCACAGACAGGGACCAGACAGCGAGGCTGGGGTTTGGGGTGTGAACACACCCCCAGAGCCCCACAGCCACTTCCCTCTTGGGTCTGGGTTGTAAGAGCCAAAAATGAGGGATAGGGGCTCCAGGTGGCTCTTTAAAAATGCTGTTTATTGTATCCAAATGATACAGAAATTTATTTATTATTTTAAATGCTGTTTATTGTATCCAAATGATACAGCAATTTATTTATTATTTTAAATGCTGTTTATTGTATCCAAATGATACAGCAATTTATTTATTATTTAAAATGCTGCTTATTGTATCCAGAGGATTCAGCAATTCACAGGTCCTGGGTGACAGAGCCCAGCCCAGCCTGTCACCTCAGCTGGGGGTTTGTCTGAAACCATCTCTAGTTCTGGTTACAATGCATTATAAACTTTCCATTGCAGAGCATCTTAATACATGACAACCAATCAATACCTTTACTACAACCTACAGCCCATCATAACTACCAATATCACCATATTCATGTTACTATTCTGCAGTCACAAAAAGTCAGTGTGTTACAGCTTAAGCTAGAAGTTGTTTTTCAGTTTTCTTGTAGTGGGAAATTCTTTTCTCGACTTGTAACATTGGCTTTCTTGTTTGCCTGTGGAATCTTTTTGCTTGGTAAAAACATCTTTTGTTTGAGGTGGGTTTATCCTTTGCTCTAAGTCATAAAATCCCCTTCCAATTCATTTTACAATTGTCTTCTAGTTACCCAGTTAGACTGGCTCAGCAGTTCTTTTCTTCTATATTAAAACTTGCTCTCATTTCTATTCCTTCTTCAGATTCTACATTCAGAGATCTTTGTGTTACACACACATATCTGTGAGACCTTCCTGTCAAAGCCTTGTCCTTCCCGACACTAGGTGAAGCAGGAGTGCCCTGAGCTTTCCCTGGTTAGAGCCACCTGGCTCAGGTGTGCCCCAGGAGCCCCAGCACAGCTCCCTGCAGGGGAGCAGCAGTGGCACAGGCACACCAAAGCCAGGAGCTGGCACTTCTGGAGTGCCAGATGTCCCAGCCACCCTCTCTGGGACACTGGGGAGGCTGCAGAGGACAGGCACCACTGCGGGTGCACATTATGGGATCAGTAACAACGAGATCTTTCTTTGGTTTTCTCATTGCAGAGCTGAATGAGCTGCCCACCCTAATGCTGCTTGTCTTCAGTTTTCCTCATGATGCAAAGGCTGTGGCTTGGTGGTGTCTGGCACTGCCCAGAAAACATTTCTGCCTCACCTCTGCTGCCTCACAACGTGATTTCCACATTAGGTTCATTTGGTGTGCCTCAGAGTTGGATGGTCGTTCCATAAATTAGGTTTAGTGGCAGGAAGGAAGGCAGCTGCTGGAGGCAGGTTTTTTATTTTATTACCTTCAGCTGCAGCAGAGGGGGCACCTGTGGAGATACCACAAGTTCCTGCTTTTCCTAACGTGGAAAAAAATTGTCTACTGGGAACCTGCCTTCATTTGATGGGAACAACACCACTGCTGGAGTGTGTGAAATAGAGGCCTCTCTGAGTTACTCAGAGAGAGATCAGAGTGCAGGAATCAAATTAAAACCTTTGGATGGATTAAAGTATATTAAGCCACTCAGACATGAAATAGAGGTGTAAGCTTGAGGTTTAAGTAAGTAAGTTTAAGTAAGTAAGAATATGTTTTAAGTGCCTTAAAAAGCAAAAGCCTTAGAATCTGGTGTAAAAAAACAAGTTTCAAAAACCAGCTGTAGTGAGAGCTTAAAAATCTAGTTCTAGACATAATAAAAATTTAGTAAGAATAGTGCTTACGTTTTTCAAATAGAATAGATAGGCTAAAAGCGCATATTATACATAAACTTTCATATTAAAAAACTGGAATTCTAATAGGTTCAGAAGAAATGCTTCAGATTTGTGGTTTTTAGCTCACAGGGTAATTTGTGAATAAGAATCTGCGTATTGGAGCGGGACCTCTCTCTTTTTCCACCACCATCATCATCATCACTGCCACCACATGAAGAAGAAGAGGAAGAAGAGGAAGAGAAGAACGAAAGAAGGAAAGAACGAGAGAAGGAAAGAACGGGAGAAGGAAAGAACGAGAGAAGGAAAGAACAAAAGAAGGAGAGAACCAGGGAGCTTCTGCCTTTGCTCAGGACTCTGTGCTAGGCTGCAGCTTTTGCTTCTAATCAGGACTCTATGCCAGAAATGCTTTCACACAGACTTTACACAGACTTTTGGACTCTTTGTTTCTTGAGACCCAACAAGTTCAGAGCCCCAAAACCCAGCGCCCTCCCAGGGAATGCTCTCACCTCGTAGGACTCCTCGTCCCCAGCCACCATGCCCACCGTCTTGATGAAGGGGTGGCCGGGGTTGTCCACCCCGGTCTGGATGCACTGGTCCAGGGTGTATCCGTTGGGGGTCATCTTGTCGCGGAGGCGCGAGTAGATGCCCGGGGTGAGGCACTCGGCCATGCAGTTGTTGTGCTTGCGCAGGTCGGGGTAGTCAGCGCTGCAGGGAGAGGAGCCCCGGCCCTCAGTGCGTGCCCTGGGCACCGGCCCGGGCTGGGCTTTGGGAGGCTAAAGGTGGTTCTTGGCTTGTGTGCCGCGCTGCTTTTCCGGCAGGGAAGGAGGGCTCTGGTGCTGAGCACACCCTCTTTGCAAGTATAACAAAAGTGAGTTGGGGAGGAGTGAAACTGGGGGTAAATTACTTCATTACCTGAGGCTGTAATTGGACAATTAACCCCTGATTTGTAAATGGATACCAAATTTATAATTGCGTGAAAATCTCATGACCATCGTCCATCCTGGGTGCAGCCCCTGGGAGGCTTTGACAGCCCAAGGTGTATTTATTGAAGGCCTTTAATAAATACCCAGTTCATGGTGCTCTGTGCTTTGTGCTGCTCGGGGAAATGGAGCACAGGGAGAGCTGGAAGGGCAGAGCCCCACTGAGACATCTCAGCAAAGAGCCCTGGTTTGTCCAGTTAGACTGGGATTGAGGTTTAGACGAAGAGGGGCTCTAGGTGGCAGCCCAAGGTGCTCTCACCTGCCAGCTGGGCAGTGCTGCTGCTGAAACACCGGGGCTTGGCTTAATGGCATCACTATTTCCAGAAAGCAGCAGGGGAAATAAAGATGTTAGGCTTTAGCAGGGGATTCTTCAACTCTGTCAGCCCTCAGCTATCTTGTACTGCTTTGTACATCTGCTTTTTGTACAACTGTGGTATTCCTCTAGCAATATATCTTAGCTACGATTGTGTAAATCACTTAAATAATAAAATGACTCTGTCAGAGCCTGATCCACATTACCTTTGCCAAAGCCAATCCACAGAGAAAAAGGCCAGTAATTGATTTCTAACCATCAGCCATTCAGTTTGTAGCACAATTAGGAGAATTTCCAGTACAGCAGTAGTACAGGGATTATTACTGCTCACATGGGGAAAATATTTTCATATTTCCCTGTAGCAGAGCCCATACAATCAGCAGGTCCAGTAAGTGGATCTGCAAAGCTGTTGTTCAGTGGTGAGTTAAATAAAATGGTATAGTAATAAACCTGAGGCATCTATTGGGCTTGTTATCATTCAGCAGTGTTGGTTTTGGTTGGTTTGGGGGCGTTTTTGGGGGGCTGATATTATCTCACTGATGCTTTGGGATTTAGATTTTACATTTTTCAAATCCTGTGCTGCAATAGTGCATAACTCTGAACTCCATATGAAGTGTTAGTTAAATGTCTTCACATTTTGGTCACACAAAACAATCCCTCTGAAACTCAAGGACACAGCACAGCCTCAGGCCCCAAAAAAACATAAACAGAAGTTAACTGGGGAAAGCAAACTGGGGGTAAATTACTTCATTACCTGAAGCTGTAATTGGACAATTAACCCCTGATATGTAAACGGACCGAATTTATAATTGTGTGAAAAATTCATGACCATTGTCTATCTTGGGTGTAGCCTCTGGGAGGCTTTGACAGCCCCAGGTGTATCTATTGAAGGCCTTTAATAAATTCCCACTTTATTCTTTTCACTCTGCCTAGCCTCTGTTCAGGGTACCCACTTGTCTTGGGGTGACTTTCTCCCAGGAAATATTTTTCCCCGAACCAGCTGTGGTTGGGACTCTTGGATCTATTTCCCAAGGGGACCCCATTCGGAGGTTTCCTCCCAGATTTTCCCTCTTCCAGGACACCCCTCCGAGGCGCCCCTTGCAGCCCGTGGCCCGGCAGAGGATGCCAAGGGTGGGGGATTGCAGGTGCCTCACCTGCCTGCCCAGCGCTCACCTGGGGGGGAAGAGCTTCCTCTTCTCCTGCACGGCGGCGCTGACGTTGTTCTGGCCCAGCAGGTAGCCCGTGGCCATCACCCCCGTGCCCGCGGCGGCCAACAGGGCGGGGGCTGCTCGCCCGGCCAGGAGACGGCAGAAGGTGCCAGCCATTGCTCTCTGCAAGGACACAGCCGGGGCCACGAGTGAGACTGCGCCCTGCCCCCTCTGAAATTATTTATTTCTCTTTTTTTTTTTTTTTTTTTGTGATTATTTAATTGCGGCTTTATTTGTTTGTTTGTTTGTTTGTTTAATTGTTTAATTATTTAAGTATTATTTTAAAAATCATTCCTATATGGTTTGTCACCACCTTTGAGTTGCTTTTGCTATAGTATATATTTATAGTATTTCTATAACATAGTATATATAGTATATGTATTCACACACTATAGTATATACAGTACAATATGTATAGTGTATATATAGCATATATACCATAGTCTATACAACACAGTATGTGTAATATATATATTACATATATAATGTGTGTATATATGTTTTCACACTATATATAGTATATATACTATATATATAGTGTGTGTATGTGTGTGTGTATATATATGGTTTGTTAGTACCCCTAATCCCTCTGTGGATTGCATGTTTTAATAAATCGATTTATTTATAAATAATCCAATCATTCATAGGTTTAAAAAATATTAATATGTATCTATATAAATATTAAAAATATAAAAATATAAAAATATACATGTATACATATATACATATACATATATAGAAAACATAAATATATAAATATTATATAAATAAGATAGATAAGAAAAATAATAAATACAGCTTTCCCTGTTGTATATTGGCTTTCACAAATCTTTTTTGTGATTATTTAATTTTAAATTTGATTTATTTATTATTTAATTCTTTAAGTACTTAATTATTTTAAAAGTATTTTTATATGGTTTGTCACCACTTTTTAATTGCTTTTGCTATAGTATATATATAGTATTGCTATGGTATAGTATATATATGTTATAGTATGTATAGTGTGTGTATATATATGGTTTGTTAGTACCCCTAATCCCCTTGTGGACTGCATGTTTTAGTAATCTATTTATTTATAAATAGTTTAATTATTTATATCTATATATCGATATAAATATAAAAAATATAAAATTATAAAAATATAAATATAGACATATAATTATATAAATATAAATACTATATGAATAAAATAAATAACAAAACCAATAAATACAGCTTTCCCTGTTGCGTATTGGCATTCACAAATTTTTTTGTAATTGTTTAATTGTAATTTTTATTTATTTATTATTTAATTACTTTTAAATTATTTAAATATTTTTTAAATATTAATTATTTATTTATTTTTTAAATATTATTTTTATATGATATGGCTTGCAACCACCTTTTAAGTACTTCTGGTATAATATACATGGTTAGTACCCTAATCTTTGTGTGGATAACATGTTTTAGCAATCCATTTATTTATAAATAATCTAATTATTTATATATATGTAAATATATAAATATGTAAATATTAAAATATATAAATATGTAAATATTAAAATATATAAATATATAAATATAAAATATGGAGATATATAAATATATAAATATGCATCTATATAAAGTAATACATAAAATAAATAATAAATATAAAAATATATTTATTCATATATTTATATTTCTATTTATTTCTCTTTCTCATTCATATATATTTATTTTTCTTAAATAAAGACCTAAAATTTGAATATTTATATAAATATAAATAATATTATTATTTATAGAAATAGAAATCTATTATATTTATAATATATAAATACATATTTTGTATAATATAAAGTATTATATTTTATATATTACATATAGATATGAATATTTTTCTGTTGCAAAATATCAAAATAGAGACTATCTGGTGTGTATTGTAACTTTAATTGTTGCAAAAGAAGCTAATGCCTTTATTCGTCTTTATATATTTGTCTTTCTTATTTTGCCTTTATGTATTTAACTAACTGACCATGGTGAGAATAGCCCAGATAATTTTATAAAGTATTTATTGTTGATTCAATGTACCGGTGGAGTATCTTGCCTGTATGATAACTTTGGAAAGAACCAAGTAAATTAACATCAGAATTAAAAATGAGAGGAGGGATCTTCCACTGACCCTTTGGATATCAAGAACTCCAAGTCACAAAACAGGGTGGGCCTCGTGGAGAAATAAAATACACGAATTTTATGTATTTATAAATAATATAATATAATTTAATAATATAAGTATAATTTAATACATTAATACATTTAATATAATTTAATAATATAATTTAATACAGCTCACCCCACAGCAAACTCATCTCCCTGAGCAGCTCCTGCTCCTCTGGGGCGTTCAGGGAAATTTGGGGATTTTTGTTTGTGCTGTACAAAAAAGATTGGCCCTGCTTATTCCTGGTGGGGCTGTGTCTGAGGTGCGAGAAATGGCCCAGAAATTTTAATTTCCCGTGGGATTCTGGAGGAGGCAATGCAGGTTTTTCCCTGCAGGAATCAGATTTGGGTTAGGATTGCTGGTGACGGTGAGCTCCTTTTTTTTCCAAAAAAGGACAATTCCGTCAATCTGAGTTCCAGTTTGTGTCCCTGACGGAACTGGACTCGCCTTTGGGAAACGAGCATGGAAGATTTATTTAAAAAAA